TAATTTGTGTTTGATAACAATTTGTGGTAAAAAGTTAAAGGGGTTCCAAAACTATTTACAACGGCAGATATGTAATTATTTTTATATTATAATTGATTTTGCTTGTTGTGCATTATGGAAACAGAATTAATTTTGCTTAATTTTTTGTGGAAAAAGTTTTTCTGAATAGTTGCATTGAGATTATTTAATAAATTCATTCAAAATCCAATTAAATCCATGAAGTGTGAAAGTGTAACAAACACAAATATAAATACATTTCTGTTTTTATAAATTTGCTTTAGAAAGTTTGTTCATTAAATATATCTAATCAATTTAAACTGAATCTACATTAATTTAAGTTAAAATTCTAATAAAACTATATATGACTTATTCTATATAACACTTTCATTATATTATTCTACTAAACATCTTACTTAATTTTACGCTTATTTATTAATTACTTGCTTACTCACTCACTTACTTACTTACTTTCACTTACTTACTTACTTATTTACTCACTTACTTACTTACTTACTTACTTACTTACTTACTTACTTACTTTCACTTACTTACTTACTTACTTACTTACTTACTTTCACTTACTTACTTACTTACTTTCACTTACTTATTTACTTACTTACTTGCTTACTTACTTACCTACTTACTTACTTACTTACTTACTTAGTTATTTAGTTACTTATTTATTTACTTATTTACTTACTTACTTACTTACTTATTTACTTATTTACTTACTTACTTACTTACTTACTTACTTACTTATTTACTTACTTACTTACTTACTCACTTTCTTACTTACTTACTTACTTACTTACTTACTTACTTACTTACTTACTTATTTACTTACTTACTTATTTACTGACTTACTTACTTACTTACTTACTCAGTTATTTACTTACTTACGAGCAGCCTCCGCCAGCCAGTCTGAGGAGTGATTTGCCAGTAGGTAGTACCGAGTATCCTCAAATCATTCATCACATGGTTCTTCCATCGAAGATGCGGACGTCCTCTACCGCGTTTTCCGTCTGCGGGTGCCGAATCAAACGCTTAATAATAGAAAATTAAATATTTGCTTTCATATGTGTGGTCTTAAGACATTGCTTAGTATGAGTAATGAAACTATCCCAATATCTATCCTAATATATTAACTTTCATCAAACTTAATTTGGTGAACACACATGAAGTCTGTAGTTCCATCACTACTACACTTTAATAATCATAATTGTTGATGTATCCAAACCTCCAGTCACTAATTGAATCAGCAAACTGGGGCTCCAACACTGGAGCGCCGTCATCATTACGTTGCGACTTATATTCGAAAATCAATGTCTCATGCAAGCACAGCGATCCTACTTATCAACCTTATGGGTGTGACCGCTGCTCCACGCATAAGGACAGTACTTTGTATGTTTTTTTTTAAAGGTTTGTGATTTTTGAGATAACACAAAACTAATTGAAATAGCTATATTAAAAAAATGATTAAAGCATGAGTATGATTTCGTGGAGTTGCCTCGAAAAAAACGCAGTCCGTAAATCCGCTAGTTTGCTAGTGGTCCAATCTCCAAGTGGATATGTGTCTATCGCAGTACTGAAAGCATTTATGATCCTATAATGGCAATTATATTTTGTATGTTAGTTTTCAAGTGGTCTTATGCCCAAGGATAAGAATACTTTCTTAAAGCATACTTTTTGTCTTTTTAATCTTAATGATAAAAATATAGTATACAAAGTATTTGTTTTGATTTTTTACTTTTTAGAATTTAAAATAGTTTTGTTCCTAATCAACACTTTAATTAAAATGCTATACTATATTTTCCTAACATATCTTATATTCAACGGACGGGATCGCCTTTTAGATGACTGGGATGGTGTTGAAATAATTTCCTTTCATCATGATTTGAAAAAAAAAGGAAAAGTCAAAAATAAAACGGATCTATATTTCAAATCTATATAAAAAAAATGGAACCATAAATGGCACTAATTAATTTATTTTTTGTTAATTACATTTTATATACTTTTTATAATTTTTATTTAAACTTTTTATTTTTGAAATATGTTGATATTTAAAGGACATCCTTTTCTGGTACCAATTTTCAGGAAATAAAGAATGTTATTAAAATGTTTATTACACAAATTTACTCTTTAAGATATGGAAAAAGAGAAGACGTTCACTTAATCTGTAAGCAAATGGTAAGCCAATGACAGGCAAAGGACAATCTAAAACTACTTAGCAAGCAGTATTTGTTTTTGTTGAACTTTTCAATGACATACTTTACTTGCAATTGTCCGGAGACAAATGTCCCCAAATAGCCTGTGGCGTACTCAAGATATTAACAAATCCATTTTTAAGATAATTCGTTTTATATTTCAGTTAAATTGTCTCTGTTCGAATGGAAGCTGCATGGTCTGAATCCTACTTACCAATAGAATTGATTTGGAAAATATAAAAACAAAAGCAACAACAACAAATCAACAACAAAAACACTTATTGAAAAAGAAAATATAAAACAAAAAAATGCAGTAATGGCAGTTTAAGTTGCCTTAAACCGACAACAATGAAGCATTGGAACAGAGTGTGGATGAACATAGAAGTGGTGGAACAGTAGAAAAACAGTGATGGAGAGCAAGATGGATGATGTGCTTTATTTAAATTTATTATCCTGCAGGCTTTCGAGTATTTTTATAAACCTGTAATGTATACAAATTAACTGATATATTTAAAATGAGCAAGTTAAGCCATCAATATCTACCTTTAATGACCTTCACAACGCAATGTAACGTGACCAGGGTGATGTGATGTGATTATTATACAAACGTTAAACTGGAAAGCAATTACTTCGCACAACAGAAATCACGTGCAACAGTTAGTACCATTCGTATAGCACCAGCAATTCTTGCGGGCACACAACGTATCACTTTCTTTTGCCCACAAATAAAATCTCAAGTCTTTATGACCTTTTAAAGAAGCAATGAAACGACGATAAAGCAATGAAAGCATCGTACGCTATAACTATGGCTGTACGAATGCAGATAACTGATACGGATGAAGATACTGGCACGGATGCAGATACATATCCCCTTTCGCACTTTTACTCCGTAATGGGCTTTTCGCATTTATTTGCTGATAGTCGCAATGGAACGTGGTGCAGTTAGCGTTACTACTGGAAATCGCCACCAGTAAAATGACAAGGTTAACAATTTGCAACCAATAGCGCAACAATTGACAATGCGATTCAAAGTGCTTGAATGGAAGAAACGACGCTAAAAAAGTATAATTTGCCTCATCGTGCCAGACGACATGCTCAAAATGCAGTAAAGTGTTGAAAGCACTTAAATACCATTGAGCTGTTGAGTGACAATCAGTTAGAAAAGAATGATGTCAAGCAATTGTGGGATACAAAACATGCAATTGAAGTATGAATAAAAATGGAAAATTGGATGAATTTAAGATGCTATAATAAATTTTACTAAATTTTGGGAAGATGTAGTTTTTTATACTGAGAGAGACAAACGTTTAAGAAGTAATGCAATAACATTGAACTGTTGCTTTGATCTAATTATGATTAAATCAATAATTCCATAATATGATCGTGCCAAAATAGATTATAAATCAAATCAATGTTGGTATATTGTCCCATCATTGATTCTTACTATAGCCTTCCAGAACACTGTAGTTTTTTTGTGGCAGAAGTGATTGTTTTCAGAAAGGCTATAACCTGTGAAGAAGTAGATGATATACCTGATTGGAATATATGCATACTATCGCATAGTCAAGGTGCTTTAAAGTTCTTGAACTTAGTTTAGTTTATATCTAGGACAGTATTTGACTGCTACACATCTCTAAATGAGATCTGGGTTCTCGGTCATAGGGATATTTTTGGCAACTGTAAAGCAGACGAGGTGCTTCAAAAAATCGCTTGGAACATCTAAACAATATGGACATATCGTTGACATCATGCAAACTGGCACTGAGTTTTTCCTGTGCCGAACTTTTTAATAAAAGATGGGAAGACACAACGATAGGCAAGCAACTGTATGCAATTTGACCACGCTCCAATAAAATAAAATCAAACTCTCTTATCGAGAAATCAGTCTTGCAGTAGATTTACCTACAGGTTATTGTATTTTAGGTCACCAAGCTAGAAAACTAACTCATCCTTTGAATCATACCTGTCGTAGTTGTGGAGAGAATCATGAAAGTGCCTCCCATCTGCTTTGTTTCAGTCCAACACATGCACGGCGCCGCATTATCACTTTTGGGCTTTCTTTTTGGCGGATTTTGGCGAACTGCAAGATCTTTCTCTGAATAGCATTATAAGCTTTGAAAAAGATTCTAAGTGTTTCTAACCCTACCCTTGGGTTTGTTTTTAATTATATGGTAGCACAATGACCATATAAGCCTAATTGGAACCCTTGAGATCGCCGGTTTAACCTAACTACCTACCTACAACATTGATGACTATCATTAAAACATGTCTGACTGCATGTCTTCTAACAATGTTTGCATGTGAGTTAATAAAATTTACCGTTTATATGAGACCTGTCTTAACTTTTAATATAGAACACATCTACCGAAAGTTTCCTTTAATTTAAAATTTGATCTGATCATATAACGCTTGTGAAAAGAGAAAAGTGTTCAAAATTTATGAGAAATACGTTAAAAGGCTCTTAATAAGTCAAACAACTGCCTTTAGAGGAAGTAAATATTACACACAGAACCACTGTTCGCTTGTCTATAATTCTTTCATTTACACCCAATCCTTATCTCCACTCCATAAAGGTGTTAAACAAAAACTGGAGGTTCATCAGTAATTAATTTTCTCAATGCTTCCGTACCGCTTCTTCATTGTGAATGGTTTTGGATGTGGCATTTTTATCAATCAATTTTTAGTGGTTCTGTTTCCTTTATTATTTTATATTAAACCCACCTTTTAAAATATTAATCAATCTAGCACTGATTGTTCAGACAAAAAATAAATATAAAAATTTTGATTTCTTTACAGCCATATTGAAATTGTTTTCTAGACATGTTGCATCTTTATTCAGAATAACTAATAAAAATAAAATTAATGTTGCAGAGAACAAACTATCGCATTTAACCTCATGTCACTTCCGATTCTCTACAAACTGTTTGAACTGCGTACTTACATCCATAAATCCCAACAGCTGATTACTGGCAAACTGCTTGAATTCTGTTTTGACGCTTAAAGAAAAATTAAAAATTTTCTCCTGAAACAGAAAAATTTTAAATTAATTGGAAAATTCAAAATTCAAAATCTTTGGCAAAACTTGCAAGCATAAATTTTGCGTGGAATAATGGAAGATAAAAAAAAAACGGAGGTAAGTAAAATATTAAAAGAATAAAAACAAAAAAAGCCAGTTAGATGAAATATATTATAAATATAGAGTCGCAAAAATAGCAGTAGAAAAGATATCCCCAATGAGTGTGAAGAGGACACGAATCCGAAGGTAACACGTACTACTCCAGAACCGCTCACAGTACCAATCAATTTATCAGTTTTGGAAAATGATTTGTCTATTGCATCGATTGATTCATTTCCTTTGTCGCCTGGCATAGCGTCTATAGCTGAAACAAAGCCACAATTCAGACGTCACTACCCCAATACTTGTGTGTTGGTAAGTATGGAAATATATATTGAAATAATATTGCTTTAGCAATACAACGATCTTTTTTCATTGCTTGTTATTATTGCAGGAGAATTTAACGTTTGGAGAACGGGGCACTTTTCCAGCTTGTAATGGCACATCGATTCTTATTGAGTATTGCAATGATGAATTTGATGCTGAGCAGGAAACCGAACTGATCATGTGGAAATTTATGTTGGATAACGAGACTTTGATTAAGCAATTTGGAATGATAAGGAACAGAGTCGATTCGAAGTATTTTCTGCAAACACATACGCATCTGCTTAGTGAACACGTAGCAAATTACATGGTCGTCTGGTCTATCAATCTAATATTACAAAAATCGATTGACTTGTTAAATAACGTTGCACATCAGCTTATGTGCTTACAATATATTATGGAAGTTAGCAACAGTCTATTAGAAACAGATCCTTTGTTTTGTATTAGTTCCTTCTTCTTGCATATGACCAATTGGGATCTATCCGAAAGGAGGGAGTTTGCTTCGGATATCGATCGTTTTAAACAGCGTCTGACAAAGTTTACAGAAGGTGATATCTGGGGTGCGTTTGCTGATGCTGCCATAGATGAACGCGAACGAAAGGAATTGGCAGATCCAAACTGCTTTGCACCGGTCAATGTCTACAAGGAGCTGCCAATTGTAAATATCTATTTTTTACATATAAATTTATATGTATATATATGTTATTTATTACTAATGTGTATGCATAATTAATGTTACTTTAGGTGTTAAGAAAGCGTATCGAAATGCAAAAACCCCTGCTCATCAGAAAAACCTTTGATGCTTTACCGGAAGAAATATCTAAATATTTTTTCAAATGTTGTGTGGATTGTGATATTTTAAATTCCGAGTGCATTGTGAATATGGATGTAGTTGAACACACATTAATCACTCTTGAGGAAGAAAAACTTAGAGAAACCGCACAAGGTAATGAAGTCAATAATATTAACATTACCACTAACTAAACAGCCTACATAACTTAAATTCATTATAGATGACAACAAAACGAAACATATACTTCATGATTCAGACGCAGAAAACTCAAATGACGATCGCGTATCTCCCGGAACTCCAAGAAGTTTTGAATATAATACATCCGATACAGACGAATCAACACAAAATACAGACTCAGATCCAAATAATAGAGAATTTATTTTTGATATAATAATGCCTCAAGAACGTGTAGACACCAATATCTATAAATTTGTTGAGCAAAAATTTCAAGAAACTATAGCTGGCATTAAAACACGATCTGGTAATAAGAATAATTTGAATGTTAATGCTGCAGAGATAATCAAGGAGTTGGGAACTAGTATGTATCGCAGAATTCCTATATTAAATTTTATCTTCTAATTGTTATTTTATATACAAAGGACAAGAAGTGGTCGATGATGATTATGACTCGGATTTTTCAACAAATAATAATGTTGTTATAACGGACATCAGTGAAGACGAAACTGACGAGGATTTTATTTCAGGTACAGATAGTCAGAGCACTGCAGATGATTCAGTTGACGGTGATGAATCGGAATCACTTACTGAACACACAAGTAATGAGAAATTAATAAAAAATTTTCTAAAAATTGAGCCAGTTCCAAGCGAAGAACTACAAACTGATAGAAAAGTTTTTAATGGTGTAGTTATTCCCAATTCTATTGGTAGTTTACCTTTAAAGTTTGTTGACAAAACTCACAAAAATCTTGCAAATAGTGAGATTGTGAAATCAAATTTACTAAGCAATAAAGAAAATTTGCTTGAACAAAAGATCATTTTTAACGTTGATGAATTTACTGACAGTCAAATTGATGACGTTGTAGATGAACCTGTAGATAATGTCTGTGACACTAATGGAAATTTTTTTTCATTAAATGTAAATGACGTTGAGGATGATGCAAATGTTGAAGATCCGGAAGTTGCCAACAATCAGAAATTCCTTAACAAAATATTGTCTGCATTAGGAAGTGGTACTGAAAATACTTTTCCAACAACGCAGCAATTCCAAATAGATATTGGTCTTAGCAATTTGGGTTGTAAAGTGCCTAATACCGTCGGAAATCAACAAAACATCAGTTTCTCGCATAACGATGACAATGATGATGAAGATATTGATAATTTTCTTGATTCCACATTGAAAGACGAATTTACCAAAGAAGTGAGAGAGGATATTGAGACTGCAAATTCAGGTAAATAATTCATTAACATATTTATTTAGAAAACTTGTTCACAAAAATTTTTTATCGTAGATATTTCCGAAGAAGAGGCTTTTGAAAACAATAACACTTTGGAAGACATTGAAGAGCCAGACTCAAAGTTAACTAAAAAGCTAAATTAATTAAAGAGTGATATTTATTTAAATTAATTAACTAATATAATGGAAATTCACTGGTATTACAAAAAATAGTTACTGCAAAAAAATAGTAAACACGAGAAACGACTACTATAGGAAATAGCTATTGTCGGAATAGTTTATTTAAGAAATTTTTTCCACATATAGTCTTAGCAGGAAACAATTATTTTAAGAAAATGTCTACTCTTTCATTGCCACTGCATCAATACTTAATAGAGAACTTTAGAGACAATAACGAAAATCCGACAGTGAAATACAATAATAATATAAGAAATCATCCGTGTTATTAGGAGGTTACCCTATGAATACTATAAGAGTTACTCTCCGACTACATTCAGGCCTATATACTTTACTCCATACATATAATTATTTTTCTGTTTTAAAAAATCAAAATTATAAATTGATTATATATATTTTGTAAAAAGTTTATGAATCATCTGATACAAAATACACAATAAGTTCTGCAACAACAACCATAATTTTGAATTTTTAATTGCAAGATACTATAAGGGGTATTCACGATGACGGTAATTTTGATTAACTCAGCACAGATTTTTATCGAGGTTCGTCTATAGTCTCTGTTATACTTATTTAATTGTATCATAATATTTTACAATTTTAGTACAACAGGGTAGAACTTATACATATACGTCACTAGTTTATAACAATTACATATAGTAACTTATTTAAGCAAATTTAAATTGATTAATTAAAACGCAGTTTGTCAACATCTGGCATTCATTTTCCTAAGTTTAATAGATTAGGCAGTAGGCAGTGCGGTTGAAATACTATGTATAGGCGTTATAATAATTTATAAAATAAGATATTTTCTAAATTTATTAAATGTGACAGTTTTTAAGCGAAATATTTTATCACTATTAATCAATGACATCACAGCTGTGTGATATTTGCTGCGTGCTGTGATAAATTAAATAGAACGTGTGTGTGATTTTCAGCCTTCAAATGCTTTCACTAATCACTTCGGAATATATTTCACAAACGCTTGTGATATAACTCAAGAGTAATAGAGTAAAATATGAAAGGCTCTTTTCCTTATTTCATAGAAATAGTTCATCTTGTTTTCTTTCAAAAATATTTAATTATATAAATACATATATGTGTATATATATAGCGCAAAATACAGGACATTAATTGAAAATCTTTACATTTTGCATCACTTCGGTAAAGATGTTATTTATCAAGTCAAAAAAAACAATATTAAATCAAAAAAAAAATTAGATATAATTAATGCTATAGTAATAAGCTACTGTTGCTAAGTATAAGATCTGGTCCTTCACTGATGTATTCCCCAGCAAACCAAAAGATGTCCTTGATGACCCAGGTGACTGAAGTCAATGATTAATCTGCATGTATTTAAGGGTTGCAATATTAAAACCGCAGCCAAAGAATCATCACTCAGAAATGGAAATTTTAAGAAAATATTGTAAGTCAGCCGCCCTAAAAAATTTAGAAGCAAAAACTTAACTGAAAGGATATAGAAAAGAAGGAAGATCAAAACTTACCTAACGTATTGCTAGAGGTAAAAAAGATTTTATATATTTATATATATGAATATATTTTACAGTGGTCACAATAGAGTTACAAAAACTGAATTTATCACAGACAGACACAATCATATATAGATAATGGTTATATGGTTATATCAGAATCATACAGATATAACCATATAATTGCTCAAATTTATTATATGAAGGAACTCAATATAAAATAATAACATGAATTTTCTCATATTTCTTAACGTAAATGAATAAGCTATTGAGTAAATCTGTGCATGTTGATTACATGTATATAAATATAATATATAAGCAGCTCTAAAAAAGATTAAGATAAACTAATTACTAAGTATCAAGATCAATTTATAATTATAATTAATAATCAAATTTTTTCAAATAAATTTGAAGTAGGAGATGCAGCTATATTCCATGGTATAATTAGTTACTTAGTTGTGGTGGAGGAAGTAACGAATCCTCCTCAATTAGCTAAAGAAGCTGTTTTGTATCCACAAAACCTCGTAATAGTGGGTAGAAGAGAGAAGCTAAAACCAGCCAAAGATATTTATAAAGGCAAGAATCTGGCCAATGCTAATGCTAGAGAAATCGCCGAGTGTATTGAAGAAGGGGGCCCCAGAAACTCAAGCCTAGTTCTGGTCAAACCTAGATATAAACACATCAGGTGTTCTGGTTTCCTTTCTTTGAGAGTTAATAGACACGCATTGCAGTAGATACTACAGCGTAGGCCAAGCCTAACACCATGCCATCCTATGGTTCAGTGCCTTGTAAAGGCAGATATTAATCTAGTTACCTTTGATTTGCTTCTGTGTTTTAAGTCAGAGTTTCTAGATTTGGAATAGATTAGCCATGTAGCCCGCGACCTGACTGCTGAGGAGGCAAGGTAGCTGACACTGGCAAGTATAAAACTTGGTATAAAACTTGATTCGTTATTGATTATTAAGCTTCGAGTTTCTAATAGTTTATATCTAATGTTAACTAAATAAAACAAACCTGAAGCACATAACCATGACCAATTATTAAACTTCTCAATTACTTCAATTTATGGTCTTGGAAAAAATAATTTCTATATGAGGAACAAAAGAATAATGAGAATCAACTACTTAACATATAATCTATTTTCTGTTTTTTATGTTTAAATAAATATGCTTGCTAAAATGATAGACTCATGTTTGTTGTGTTATGAAATTTCTCCGCTTAATTTTTTTTTCAATCATAGAATTTTTATACATAAAAATATTTTCTAAATAAAAATTTCCGATAGAGAAAATTGAACATTTTGAAGAATTTTCAAACACTGTTCTTCCGTTTGATTTGCGACAAATGCTGCATGAGACATTGGCTGCATTAGCAACATTTGTACGATGTTGCTAATTAGTTGGCAGCTTAGTAAAAATACCAATGCTAGCAGATACTACTCCACTCCTCACTGCTGTGTGATGATTGGTAAACGAAGCAGAAGAGTACAAGCTCTAGACTAAATCTGATTACTTCCAATTCAATTGAATTGCTTTGATATTTGCAGATACTCGATTTTTCTTTGTTAGCTCTTCGATTCGAGCTCCAACTCTATTGCCATGTTTCACATTTTGCCAATTCCATATAATGGCTACCCGCAATGAGTAGCTTAACTCATCATATTAAGAGCAGGTATTGCTCGAACATATTTTTAAAATTTACTACCATTGTTGGTGTTTTCATTGTTTCTTTGATTTCGTTGTTATTTTCCCATATAAATGTTTTAATCAAATTTTCTATAAATTGAAAATTGGGAATGCAAAAAACATCACTGGTGATTTTCTATTGATGAAACGTAACCCAATTCGACATGTAGTCATCGCCATCGTCATCGTCATCGTCATTGTCACCGTTATCATTGTCATCATTGTCAGCATCGTTATCGTCACCATTGGCAAACGCTTTTGTTATGTTTCTTCAAATTTATTACAAAAGTCCTTTGTGTATAGAAGCATATATGAAATTGAATTTTCGAATTCATTGTAGATAATTTCTCTTAATAGGTTTTTAACTTAATTAAGTTTTTAATAAACAATCAAATCAAATCATAAAAACTTAATATTTAATATTAAAGATACGTACAGGAGTTTATGTAATACAAAAGCAGCAAGGGGTCATAAATTCAAAACAATATAGAAGTGCATTGGAGGAATGGCTGTGAACGCTGTATAGAATCTTTAAATACAGACAATTCCAGCAATAGAACCATCTCAAACATTGTGTGGTGACCGGAAGTATGAAAGGAATTCTTTGAAAAATATTCTTTGCCTCCTGCATAACATATATAGATATACGTGATAGCATATGCAGAAGTGCAACCAGAAAGATACACATAGGTAGCTACACAGGTAATGATAAAAATATGTGATCCCATAAAAATAACAAAAAAGCTAGACCTGAAAAAAGCTGAAGTTTTTGTAGAAGTTTGTAAAGTTATCTGATTCACACAGTTATTACATTAATGAAATACTAGTTTCTTTGCAAAAAATATAGTAAATAACTCTATTTCTCACGTTAACGCTTAATTAAACGCGTTTTAAGTACCCTTGTTATTAGTGCAATAGGTGGAAAGCATCGAAACCACCAAGTCCATAGCGCCTTGAATCCTATAATTTTGAGTCTTCGAATTATTAATAGTAATTTAAAAACTATTTCTAGTTAAATCACGTTTGAAATTTTATAAATTTTATTGATGTAGTATATTTTTTTTCGGTTACACTACAAATGACTGTAAACTCGTCTGCAATTACTTGACGAATATGAACTCTTGCGACTTGATTTTGTTTTGAAAGGATTGAAGGAATTTGCTAGTGCTAATCAATCAAACTAACCACACTATCAATATTTAAAGTATTTTTAATCATCTGCGGCTATTCCTAGCTGCTTCAAGTCACAGAACTTTATTAGAAATAAGTTGCTAGCTTGAAACGAATTATACTATTTCACTTACCTGATTTAGAACTTGAAAGTGTCACTATATAATGCTTACAATCCAGTATTTAATTAAATTACATAGCTTAGTTTAGATGATGGACGATAAAGGAGCTTTATAAAGTTTATGAACACTTTTTATATATCGTTTTGATGTAGTAATCCTCAAGCTTGCTATTCAAAACGATTGCTTGAGAGACATTGTGTTTAGACGATATTGTTAAAGCGATGTTTCTGTCAGCAGAACAGATTAAGAACTCTTCTCTAAATGTAGTGCAGGATATTATTCACAAAGCTTTAATGGACTTTGTGTAATCAATAGTGAAATTCGTACAATTGAACTCTTCTGTCCGTAGTACCAGTAATAATAATATAATACAGCGATAGAATTATATTTCACGTACTGGTAATTGGACTTTTTGAAACCTTTAAGTGCTATCTTAAAATTTTAATTAAAACACCTAAAATAAGACAATCGAAGACTAAAATACTCGAATTTTTTATTGATTCCTAATTGTTTCCCATCTGAAAACAAATTATCGATTGATGTCGTTCGGTATCGTTATTTATTGAATTATTTATGTGCCTTTTATATATAGATATCTATAATTATTATTATAATTAAACATACATAAACTTGAAATTTATTACTATTTGACTGTTTGCCAGCAATTTATTTTATTTAAATACAAAAATATATTGCATCCATCAACTGATTAGAGCACCCCAGTGCTCTAATCACCCCAGTTAATTTGAGTTTTAAACCTTTTTATGAATATTATTCAAATAGTATGAAGTTTACTTTTCCTTTGATTTCAAACAATTTTTTTTTATTTTTTAAAACATTAAATTTAAAATTTATAAAAACCGCAAATTTATAGATTCATTTTATAAAATTTGATAAATGAACAACAAAATAATATTAAAAAAATATATAAGTGATAATTACGTTCATTACAAAAATAAATCATAAAAAAACTATGAAATATAAATTTATGAGAAATTAATTATTGACTATTATTATTAATAAACTCAGTCACTTCATGAAATTAATTAATTGACCCAGTAGCTATATGGGTTTTAATGCATATAATGCATAAAATGTATTGAAATTTTAAGGAGTGAATGGATTTGTGCGGCCTCAATGAATCATGCAAAGTGAAAATATATTTTATTTTTTTTATTAATTGCTTAAATTAATATTAAATTTATGAAGTGAATAAAAAAACATGGAGAATAACATAATACATATTAAAAATATTACTTTATTGCAGAATTTGCTATCAATCATTTGTTTATTCAATTCTGAATGTAAAAATTTGTATAAGAGAAATGTACATTTTAAGCATTACTCCTATCGCTTATATCTATTGTTAGTGGATGAGTAATGGATTAATGGATTAGCCTGACGATAACATAAATACATGTCCTTCTGATATTGATACAAATGCATGAAGCAATACGACTATATCAAATAGCAAAAGCAATTTCAAACGTAAAAAGACTGAACTCAAATACTTAAGTTAAGTATCTCCACTCAAAGTTGGGATCTGACAGCTGAAGATTCTTTTAGTGACCATAAAAATTAAAGTGTCTGATTGCATTTAATTTGGTAAATACAATGGCAATCATTGTCACTGTTGTATTCAAGGTGATACACAGCTTCCACGTGGTTCCCTCTGGATTGCTACAATTAGCCGTGTGTAGTAAACTAATCCTCGTCATAGATTTATGGTATTATGTGTGGGGCTTGAAATCCAATATGCAAAACTGTAACTCCAATAAAAGCGGTGTCAGCCTCGAATAAGAATACCGCTTGCTGTTGACGATACACGCAAATGTTAAAAGAAAGTATGTTATTATTAACTTATGCTGTTTGATTATCAAAGGCACATAAATCACTACTTTGGTTTGATTGATATTTGAAATATAGAATCAAGAAATATTAATAATACTCAAGTTACGTCTGTTATGTCTGATGTGATGAATAGTAGTTTTGCGAACGTTCGGACTAAGATGTGTAAAGAACATTTTTCTATTTAAAATGAAATAAAAACGCAGTAGTCCAAAAAGCAAAATAACTTTTTCTTTACGTCCATTTGCTTTTCAATTAAAAAAGTGAATTAATTAATTAAACTATATATATAATCTATGCACTTAAATAATTTTATAAAATATCAACACCGATAGCGTGACATTCCTTTAATACATATTAATCTCTCTATCTTTTAGAATTACAAATGTATTAGCATAGCTAATTAAAGCTTTAAGTAAGTTTTTCTCTTAATCAGTGCTTAAAACTTAATCTAATTAAAAAACAAAACAAAGAAAAAAAAACATAAATTATCATTTCATTGAAATGTTCAACAACTCTGCTCCTATCTTATGGACTACCTGCAAAGTCCATAAACAACACATTTATTCGCAATGAACTAACCTCCACCAAATCAGCTAAGCAGCTGTTAATCCTTGTCGGAAGCTGTTGGTAATTTAATGTCAGAATTTAAGTCCTTTCACTAACGGAACCTGCACGTCCACAGTGGTTGCCTCAATGTCAAAACAGTTAATAAGCTTGGCTAAATTAAATTTCCTTTGCATTTCGGCACAACCCTCGTTTCGTTCGCGGCGTGAAAATTTTTATTTTGATTTTTCTTCTGTTTGCTTATTTAGAAAAATGAACACAAAAGTCAAGATGACAAAAAATAGGATAATAAGGAGCTATAACCTTACCTTACACTATTTAGTCCTCTTGAAATAAAACCAAACCAAAAACAAAAAAAAACGTTATAATAATTCTTGCACTGCATATCCAAAATTTATTTACAAAAGAGAAGGTAATTCAAATTAAGCTAATAAGCTTCTGTAAAGATGAGAGCCCAGAGGTTATTTGGAAATTTTGAAGCCTCATTGTGAGCTAAGGTCGTATTTAATAAAATTTGCGCATTTTTTAATTTATAAACTCAGCAGCAGAACTGTTGAGGTTGTGATCTTAAAGGTAAATGAAGAACATAAAAAAAAATCGTGAATTGATATTATCCTTTTTCTAATGACAATGGAATTTACTGAATATTTAGTCATTTTGGTAAACTTATTTAAAATCTGGATTTGCTTTCTTATGTATTAAAGTAATCCAAGGAAATAGTACTGTAGATTGACAATGAAATGTTGGTAAAGAAGGTAAAGAGCTGCGCAACGTGAAAACCTGAAAATTTTTAATCTTCTTATTTAGAATCAAATGAGAATCAACTAAAAAATCTTATCCTATGCATACATTTCTGATTAAAAATATAGTGCCAGAGTCATTTACAGATTGACTTGTAAACATTCTATTTAATTAAATACCTTTTAATAGCAAAAAAATTAAAATGAAGTTGTATCATAGAGCGTGAAATATATAGAGCTTATGACAGAAGCTCTATTTAAGAGGAAAACGGGTTACAGACTTGCGCCCAACGGACACAAACTAACCTAACACCATTGAAAATAGAAAATTTAGTGCTTTAGATTTATAATAGTTATTTTTTTTTTTTTGCATTAATAACAATAAGTTTTGATTATCATAATAAATCAGAATTCATATCTTCGTTTTTAAAATCGATCCAATCTAGTGTAAGACGACTATGAAAGTCCTTGACCCAACCATGCTTACATTTTTTGTAAGTTGATTTGAGTATGAATTTGCAAAGTATTCTGATAGCATCCATACAACATTTCCGATAGTTATCGTTTTCCAACAAACCCTTCCTGTAAGCGTAGTCTCGCAACAGAGGCGTGCACACGAGTGTACCAATTATTATTCCCTAACTCTCTACTTACAGTGCAATTATAAAGTTAGCCAATGTGTTATTTGGTGCATAGTTGCTGAAAGCTTTGGTAAACCTGCAGATATAAACCCCATGCAATCTGTTAATTATGCTTTTTTTTTTGGAGAATGGACCAGATTATTAGTTGTATGTTTGTTAGACATGTTGATGCCTTGTACACATCTTACTCCGATACCGATTTATAATAATCCGAACCATTTTAGTTCTGTTTTAAGACTGTTTTATTAATTCAAATATTTGTACAAAGTTGGTATTTGTGGAGGAGCAGTGTGCATTAGCATACTGTGAGAATTTGCTGAATAGGCGACTTCACATGCCAGCCCAAACACTATCGTCAAACGGACGGTAGGGGCTCATATTGCAAAAATGCAATAAAGGTATAATAAATATCAGCATACTTATTTACTCACATAGTGTATGCTTATGCACGCTACAGCTTATCTGATTGCTTGGTGGGAATTGCACAACTAGTTAAGTGAGCCCAACAGCTAATAAATTTCCATTGATATATCCATATCCAGAAAACTGGAGAACATATAGTTTCCTTTTTATTCTCTAGTAAATCAAAGGTTTTTCTAAATTTCAGACAAAAGTGCTAAGGAAAAAAATTGCCGCCTTATCCATTCGAAGATAGATTATTTGTCATGAAACATTTAATTAATTAATTAAGTTAATAAATTCGTAAAGCTGATAATATAATTACTTATAAATGATATCTCCATTCATATGACATTGATATCCAATATTTCAAAACTTTTTGTTTTGTTGACTTTTCAGCTTTTCCTTTCAATATTTTAAAATAATTTTTCTGTGTGAGATATCAATTTTTTCTAAGGGTTTTTTTTTTGGCTATTATTGGTAGGTTTCTGTTCCTTTTGCTGAGAGTTTTTTATTGCCAACATCAATGACAAGCATGACATTGATTAAAAGTACATAAACAAGAGTAAATGTGAAGGCAAACGACAAATAGACGGGAGGAATACTTGAAACTTAACAGTTGATATTTGACATTTGACAGGCGTTTATAGTCAAAGTAAATTGGGTCTGGCTCGATTGAGTGACTGCATGTATGAAGGAAGAAAAAATTCAAGTTAGGATGTTAGAACAAAAGGTGATTACTAGGCCATCAAATACTCATCTTTTTTCAAGATTTAATGCTTGTTCTCAAACAAGTTTGTAAATGTAAGAATACTGGATGGAGTAAGTTCTCGTCTGTATTCATTCAAGTTCTCTAGTATGTTTTATCTTCATCTATGGTTTATGACTTCAGTAGGCAAAATGCTTGTCAAACTAATACCAAAAACATGCGATAATTTCAGGTAAACTAATTAAATATCAGTATTTTAAAAATGCTTTTATTCTCTCAACTTTAATTTCACATTAAAATCTTAATTAATAAATGTTGAAATTTCCGTATTTCGTATTCAACAATTGCTACCTACGACTTTGGTTTGCCGCACAAACTGCATTATCCGCTTACTTCGATATGATAGTCACTCGGAATAGTTGTTTTTGTTTTGCTTAATATTAATAATACTGTATCCTGACATCTTTTGGTGTTATTGTTAGTCTTGTTAAGTCCTTAATACTTTAGTCTGTCTATTTACGTTTATTGTCATCGTGTTTAGCCGTTAGTTTTAGGTTAACTTCCCTCGGTTAAGGCAACAATTTCATACTAAATTATTCATAAAGTCATTTTCTGGGGCTTGTACATTTCAATTGCGTTTTTGTGGTTTTATTGGTGCTGTTTCTGTTGTTCAGTCCCCAAGGACAACGCAGTCAAAAGTTTCCCGTGCGCGTTTGCCTTTAATTATTAAATTCAGTTGAATGCCTCTTCATAAATGTAAGGCGAAATTAAGATTGTTGCCAGCAGTGATTGCTTAGGATAAATACGAGTGCAGCAACAGAAAAAGGCTACAAGGTGGTACCCTTTCCTTACCACTTGCCACTTGCCACAGATTTTATTGTAATAGCACTAAGCTACTTCGAGTTGGGTTAGGTAACGATTAAATCTGTTCGCCATACCGACGATCTGGGTTGGGAATAAGTGATGTGATTTCCAGTACTGGCTTAGCATTGAGTGTTGGCTGTTTAGTGTTCTGTTAACGTAGCTCACGGTTAAATTATATTGTGTTTGGTGACATCTCACAGTTCTTAAATGAATTGAAATAAAATATTAAACACCGACAAGATTTATTTTATTCGATAAGTAGTCTTATAAATTTTATGTAAAACTAACGACTGAGAATTACAATAATTTGATATGCTTAGCACAATTGCCTGTGCTTAGTAGAATGAAACACGTTTTGTTAATTGATAGCACTAAATATTAAAAACATTAAGTTTGTGAAAGAATATTACATTTGTATATTGGTTATTTTTTGTTATCAAAGTTACACAAATATATAGAAGTAAAGACATTAACTTTGACTTTGCTAAAGCTTAAATACTTTTTAAACAAAATTTTCAGTCTGCATTGAAGACTCGTTTATATATATATATATATCGGAATCGGCTCTACAATTCCTCACGTAAAATAAGCTGCAACAACTCTGACTCTTTAACTCTGACTCCATATATATATATATATATATATATAATATATATGTGCAGGTGGCAATACAAAACAGTACTTAGAAGCAGTGTGTTACAAAGAGTCAGAGTGGTTGCAGCTTAGTTTATGTGAGAAATTGTAGAGCCGACACAACTTTATTATCTAAATTTATGAAGGAAACTTTTATACTTTGAATTAAACATTAATAGTCTTATGTATATATGTTATATATAATATAGTTTGTTACATTAGAATGGTACTGTTTGCAGGCAATGGTACTGTGCCAGGATTCGAAAGAACTGCCTTGAGGTGTGACGTACTCAACAGAAAAACGACTGTGTTGAATAGCATAACATGCAGTGGCGCCCATATACTAATTGGAGAAAATATTGGATTAACCAACATAATTATGGAAGTAATATTCTAATAAGAAAATACCTGGCTTGCATTGTCTGCATAACTACAATATAGTCCGCATAGAAGATCGCACCGTAGGTAATAATAAGGCATACAATGCCGTACGGATCGCGCACAAACATGATAAATTCACTTTAAAAAAAATTAACAGTTAATTTCTAGAAATGGTGATATTTGCGGCGTCAGTTCTATAGAAATTTTGACAAACAAAAAAAAAATGATTTTAACGTATCACATTCGCCATAATTGACATATTTTATTACAAATATATTTTTTAAATCTATTTTTGTAATACGACTAAACAATTTAATATCACATCGCAAATCACATATACCATGTATTGTAAGAAGTTTTCTTATTAAAGACACCCCGCTTCCGCCGTCACACAAGCACGACAGGTTACGAACGCCTTCGATAAGCATTTACCGGGGCAACGTTAGCAACGTTAGTAACGTTGCTGGAAAACACAGGGCTTTTTTTCTAAAAAATTTTCAAGAAATAATATTTTCGTTAATATAAAGAATGAAACTACAAAAAAAACATTATTCTTATAGAGTTTTGAAGAATAGATGATATAGTGTCACATGTTATGCAATTTACAGAACGTAATACAGTTTTTCATATGCAATTTATTTTTGTTAATTTCACAACATCGTACTAATTATTTTTTATTACTTATATATACCGAAATTTTCTAGAATATTGTACCATTTGGAAAAATTTTATTATTAGTTAAATATTTATATAACCCTCAAACACAGAATATAACAGCCAACAAATACCTTTAAAACAGTGCTTTATTAAATTCTACAGTAGTGTTGAGTTTTTAACTTGATAAATATTTTCACCATACCCAGCTGTTCTTTAGGAGACAATTGTCGCTAGGCACTAGTACACGAAAGTAGTCCAAAGGAACTAGTGAAATGAGTGGTCCGTGAGGATGAGCTAAATCGCCATTTAGAATATATAAACATCTCAATACTTTTTTGTACAAAATTTATTAGTGAATTCCATTATATCCATTATTTTTGAACAAGAGAAAATCAAAATAAAGGAGAAATAAAGAAATTCAACCGCATATTAGAATTATTAGTGCATATTCCGACCCCTGGTAATGCAACGATTCACCAGAGGAATATGCTTCGTTCTCTCGTTATGTTCTTAATATAATGCCTCTTTCACAATAGAGCGTTGATTTGGCGAATATATAAAAACATTTCTTCATTTAAAAAATTTATTGTGTATTATTATTTGCAATTATTAAAAATTTATATTAATATTAATCGTTTCAAAACAGAAGATTTAAAACAGAATATATGTACACGTACTAACTTCTCTAATAGATGCTAACTTTTGCTATATATGTATTTTTTAAGCAGCATATAACATATGTATATAAATATATATGAATGATAAAAAATTATTTTTTTTAACAAAATTTACACAATTTTTACACTTCGTCAAAACACTTTTATGACTAATTATATATATTTGCATATATCAATAATAATTAAGGCACTACTGATTTTAGTTGACTTGTTTTTTCTTTACATTTGATTTATAAAGCAAATTTAAAATTTTATTATAATGAAATTTATAAATTAATAAATTAACATACACAATGGATTTTCCAATAACAATAATTTATGCTATTTCTTCTTATTAGAAGAAATGGCGACATGCTAATATGTTCCACAAGAGTATAAAACATTTAGGTTATAAACCACACCGATTTTAATATTTGACAATTCTGGTATGGTAAATAAGTAAGAGAGATTTTTTTCCGATATTACACAAAAAGGCACAATTATTCAAAATTTCCGCTCAGTTTCTTTTCTTTATCTTCTTTGGTGTAAACAAACAAGAATGATGCATATAAGCATTCAGCGTGATTGACCGTCAAAGTTGACATAAGAGTCTGTAAAACTTTAGAAACCAGTGTGACGAAATTGGCAACTTGTGTTTCATATTCTTTTATAACGGGATCTCCATCGGTAAAGGTTAGGAGCGAAATTTGCTGAGGTAAATTATTAGAAAATATAATGAAGTGTTCAAGTGTATAAGTATTTAATTGTTTAGAATTAATATTATTATAATGATTTTGAAGTTAAATAGTTTTTTGTAATATAGAAACTTTTTCAGACGGAAAACAAAACATAATGGAACTGGCGCCCGTCGCAAACGAACCTACGATAATAAATCTTAAAAGGGAAATTGTTGTTTTATATAACACGTTATCGATTTATGGAAACGAAATAACTACTTTAAGAGATAAATTGAAATCCAAAAAATGTTTAAAATGTGGACACGAAGCACAAAATCGTATGACAAGAGGTACCAGCACACGTGATTTGATTCCATCACATAATGTAGGTGTTCAGTTTCCAGATATGTTTCCAGATGCAGATCTGTATCCAGATCCAGATCTGCTTCCAGATGCAGATCAGTTTCCAGATTCAGATTTGTTTCCAGATCCAGATCTGTTTCCAGATCCAGATCTGTTTCCAGATGCAGAACTCTTTCCAGATCCAGATCTGTATCCCGAACAAGGATTCTTGACATTCGATGAGTACTTGAAAGTTATAAGCTCAGCAACTCCTATTAATGACGCGGCAGAATTAATGCCGCCAAGTATGGATGATGAAACGTCTAGTATGGATACCGAACTGACAAATGTTTCTCGTAGCATTGATAACAGTACGCAAACAGATCCGAAACCAAAAAGAACTGTGGGTGATATTTGTTCCATACTACACTTGATTGTTGATCAAATAGAAGATTTATTTACAAACCAAGGTATGTAATATTAATAATCTGAGCTTTTTACAATAATTGTTCAATCACAATGTCTCCAAGAAATGAAGAAAGATAATGAAACTGAAGATGAATGTAATGATGATGATGAAACATCAGCGAACGAAGCCAATGTGAGCCAGATGCCAGAGAAATGGAAAGAAATTTGGGAAAAGAGAAAACAAAGTAAGAAAAATGAATTAAAAGAAATATTTTGAATATGTTATATGTTTAGAACAATTGTATTTGTTGTTGCAGAAAAAGTTAGACATGACAAAGTTGAAAGTAACACCAATGTAATGGCATCTGACCATATGCCAAAACTCACCATTACTCCGTCTAATAATATTTGTACCAACAACATTGACTATATTGGTATAGGTGAGTATATTGCGTCAAAAGTCTTGGAGCTTTATTATAAAAAAGATGTAGCAAATGAAGTCGAGAGTGAGGAAAACATTGAGCTAGGCGCAGACCAAATTGCTAAGAAGTGAAAAAGCGAAAATACTTTTAAGGAAAAATTTCAAAGAAATACCTTATTCATATATAACTATAAACTATTAACTATATCATATGCACATATATAATAAAATGTATTTTTTATTTATATATTACAAATCAATTACAAATTTAAATTATTGTGTAAACTATATTTATAGTCCCGGATAACAAAAGGTCTATTTTTATTTTGTTATACAAATTTGTTTTTTGTTTTAGAAAAATGAGTTTTTAGTTCCATAGTTTGCATTTTCCCAATGTGAACCCAGAGAAGAGAACAAACTTGAAGATTTTGTTTCTGATATAGAATATCAAGAAGTCGTTGACTTTATAGAGTTTTATAAATTGTAAGCGTTTACCTAACATTTGTAATGCAAAAACTACTCCCAAAATATTTCAAAGAAATGTTTAGTAAACAATTTACTAAAGTTTTTAGATAGTAAACTGATCGTTATATTTTTAAAACCGATTTTTATCGAGCTTTTTGGGATGATAAGTTCTTAAATAGATTGGCAGACTTTAAGTAGAGTTCCTTTGTTTTGCAATTTTTTAATTCTAAGAAAAAAACACCTACGATAGTCATCGAAATGAAAAACAACATAACTTTAATATAACGGGAACCAATAACTCTACCTACGCAACGGCATAAGTATAATATAGTTTTATCCTATAAGTTTATTTGGAGAGGAGAATACCAAATGATTATTTTTCTTTATAAAGCCTCACTTATATTTTTTATGAAATATTGAAATCGAATAGCTTACATAGTATGGTTATTAACAGTAACCGCCTTGTGTTGTTGTAAGTGGACTTATTGGACTTTCACGACTGGACTAGTAGGTCTCAATTCCGCGGCAGTCTGAAATAGTTTTAAAGTGAATAGTACAAACAAAATATATAGCGTATAGTTTTTAACAATAAATACCGAGGTCAGATTTTTTATTTACGCTTCTCTGTCCTTAACGTTTTTTCTTCTTACGAGCCTTAGGCTTAGGTTTGCGTTATTTGCCACATGGGTTGTTATTACGCTTCTTACCCTTCTTCCGTGGGAACATCGGGCGGACCTTGAGTTTTATATCGTTAGTCAAACTGGAGGCAATAATGTTGTTTCCTTGCCTTATCACTTTCTTTTCTTTATCTTCTTTGCTACATAACATGTCATGCCATTTAGCAAAAATAATAAATAAAGCATGTATATCATATTGAAGCACACCCATACACAGACGAAAATAACCTTTTTGGTGATGAGTGAACGGAGAAACACCTATTAATACCTTCTATTATTCATTCTTATTCATTTATTATTTATTTATTCTTATTCACTCACTAAATGATTTTGTATGAAGGGGTGTGTGAGGCAATATTTACGAAGTAGATGCATAGTCTTTGTTTTTGTATATTTTTCGTAAAATATATGATTGGCTTTGTGTGCGTTTAATGCATTATTTTTTCCAAATTTGATTTTTAACGAAATTTTGTACTGACCTCATACAAAACTATGACTTTTGGGTATTATGAGAAGAGTAAGCACTGGTTGTAGCGCAACCATAGTTGTAGTTAGTGTAAATGATATTGATATGTTTGGTAGTGTAGACAGTATTATGCCCTATAGTAGCAATGATATGACATGTATTAATAAATACCATCTTGTTTAATAATTAATTACATTTTATATTTTAATATATATAATTATATACATGTTAAAGTTCTAATAATTATTAATTAATTTAATCATATAAAATTGATGGAAAGCTTTTATAAATAACTAAATATTTTACAACGCAATTTAAAAATGAATTATTTAGTGTATTTTTTAACTATATATATTTTATAACACTCGCAACGGCTATAAATAATAAACAAATTGCTCTGTCGTCTGACTGGAATTTTCCATTTTCTTTCAAAAATGATTCACAATGTATCAGTTTTAAGGTTTGGCACCATTATAATGCTTATTCGGTAAGCTGTTTCAGGAAAGTGATTAGATCACTTCTGACGTATGGCTGTGAACTACTATCCCAGGAATGGAGAGCACTGAGAAAGATTTTGATTTTAAAATTTTAATGTGCTCATGTTCTGAACACTCAAAAGTATAATTGCAAAAACAACTAAAATAAAAACACTAGGTAACATCAGTGTCAGTGTCGCAAAATCATTCTAGTCGCAAAACTAGAATGGTTCCAACTTATAACTATGTATATTGGATTTGAATTATGAATTCCGAATATACATAACTTATACGACGAGAATTCACTGGAATTAATATACTTAATTTTATTTGTATTTTAATATTTATTCATGAAATTTTATTAAAAATTAATTTTAAAACGAAAAAGACTTTCTGCAGTGCCAAATTATTTTTATTGTTTTATAGATAAATTTAGGTAAAAACGTTGGTAAAAAATATATAGTGGACGCCAGATACATTCCTGCCAGATACATTCATGCCAGAAACATTCATGCCAGATCCATTTATGCCAGATACATTCATTCCAGATACATTCCTGTCAGATATATTCATGCCAGATATATTTCTGCCAGATACATTCCTGCCAGATACATTCAAGCCAGATCCATTCATCCCAGATACATTCATGCCAGATCCATTCATTCCAGATACATTCATGCCAGATATATTCATGCCAGATACATTCATTTCAGATCCATTCATACCAGACACATTCCTGCCAGATACATTCCTGCCAGATACATTCCTGCCAGATACATTGTTGCCAGATACATTCATGCCAGATCATCGTTCATTTCATATCGACCTTAAAAGATATAAAAATCAGAAATGTATTTGTTGAAAGCAAGATACTATAGATTATGAAATTGATTTAGTTGCATTAAATACGATATAATAATATTTTATTAATTACGTAGAACTAGTTCGATAGTAATTGAATATATATAATACATACTAATATCGTCGCTTCGGACGTGAAGGTGTGTTCAAATCATCTGCAGCTTTCTTCTTCTCAGCGATAACCCGGGCTAACGCAGAAGTAGTAGTGATTTTGCAATTCTTATAAAAAATATTATCCAGACGAGAATGGCTATAAGAGCCGAATTGTCTAGAAACAGTACACGTCACTCTCCTGCGTTTGGTCCGGGTACTAATTTGCTGCCGACTGCCAGATGAAGTGCCTTGATTCCTTTCATTGTCTGCTGGCATCTTTCTTGCGTTTTCGTTCAAGGCAGAACTTGGAAGTTTTTGATTGCGCTTGATTGTGCCTTGATTCTTTTCGTCAGCCAAATTCGCATACTCGTTGGTTTTCTTTTTTAAGTTTTTGTATTTTTCTGCATCCATTAATCCATTCGTGCTTAGTGTACGTATCTGGCGTCCACCAATGGATAATAAAAAGTTTGTTATTCTACCATTCATTTTTATATACGGAAAATTTAGATAAATTAAAATCAAAATTTTTGAAAATTTTTTCTAAATAAATTTTGAAACGAACTGCAGTCAATTTTGAAAAATATGTATTTCGGTTTTGAAAAATTTGTAAGTAATATTTTTGAAACTATACACGCCTACTTATGTACAATGTAGTATGTTTATAATGATGCAGTATTAACATTCGAAGTCATAGAGTCTGACGTGTTGAAATCATTAATTACTCCAGATAAAACATCTACCGAAGTACTATTGTAACCACTGTTAGTAGTCATACATTTGGTTGAAGCTGAAACACCAAATAAACCCATTATATTAATAAGACTACCCAGAGTAATCATTTCGTCATTGGCAAGTCCAAGACTTGTGTTGCCAGTTTCACTGGTGCCATTAGAAGATTCAGTGCGAGATATGGGTATATCATCTGTCATCATCTGTACGTGCAACTCAACATAATGGTGAAGTTGAAAAATATCTGTTATGCTTTTCCACCATATTATACATTAGAATTAAGTGAAGAAAATAATAAAGAGTCAGTCATAAATTACACCTAGACTCGCGTGTTTCACGCGAAGAATATGTCATCTACATTGCTACTGGTGTTGTAAGCACAATTGTTGTGAGCTGGAGAAATTAATAGAACAATGTAGGGCACTCTCTTCAGTACTTTCTGATGTAAAATGCCTCAAATTCCAAACTAGAAATGTTGATTGCAATATTAGTGTTGGACCTAAACTTTTCCAATGATATTTTTCATTTCTGGAATTAAGAATCAGTTCAGAATTTTGCGGAACGGAACGTGTACATTAAACAATCAGAATATTTATATTCACATGCTGAATATATACATTAAGGGTTAAGGATATTAAGGATTAAGGAGATTAATTGTGAAACATCACATATTTTAAGATGGTACTAGTAATTCAGTGTAAAGTTTTGATGCCTGTATAATGTCTCGAAAGTATGACAATAATTCTAGAATAACTATAATAACTCGGATTTCAAAAGCCGCACAGAATCTCTCTAAAATTTTCTTGAAGAAAGAAAAATAGTTTAAAATGACACAAGTTGATCTTGAATCAGACCAGGAATACACTTAAAAGTCTTCGAAAAAACACACCATAACACAACAGATACTTAAGCAGTTTATGTGGACTTGCCTTTAAACCCCACTTATGTTTAAAATTTGGTGAATTATTTTAAGTTTTGCTATAAAAGATTTGAGCAACATTTTTGGAATACTGCAAAATAAAAAAACATTGTCTCATAATATCGCAATTACCCTACAAACGAACACACTTCAAACTTTTTATTTGAACTTAAGAAACAAGTCAAAATAATTCAAAATAAAACTATTTTCAATTTGTGGAAGTGCAATTTTTTGTTAGCCCTATTGGATTCGTCTAACAACCTTTTGGCTCGAACCGAATTTGTTGCTTGTTGGCTTTTATTCGCAGAAAGAAATAAACTTAAAAGCATTTAAAATCCATTCAATTTGACATTTAAGTCAACGTAACCTCAAAGTGGCGAGGTGGCATCAAAAGGAGTGTGAAGTCTGACTGAGAAGGAACATGCCACATTTGTTTTGTTCAACGCAATAAGAGACTTTGGCACTGGAAGCTTGGGAAATGGATAAAATAAATAGAATTGAACGGAGCAACGATTTATCCTCATGCCGATAGTTTTTTTTTTGGCTTTCACTTTTTTATGAAATCCGAGAGCACCAAGAAGAAGAGTTTTATGGATAGTTTCTATCCATAAGAAATAAAAACTCTTAGTGAAAATTTGTAAGGAAACGAAAATTTAACAAGTTTTCGATAAAGCGGATTTCCATTCAAAAAATAAGACATACGTCAAAAAAAGTAGACAAGCGTAAGGAGCTGAGCTTTATATGTCAAAAGCAGGAAAATTGCTCAAGAAAATTGTGAGTCAAGTCAAGAATTTGGATAAGTGAAAAACAATAGAGGAAGGGGAAACAAAAGCTTATCGAAATATGAAAAGTTTAAAAACTCTTATACAACTATTATCAATATTTAAGGATATTACGAAACTTTTTCTTTAACAAATTTTGTAGATAGATTTTGTTGGCATTTAAATACAAAACTTGGTTTATGGTAGCACTTTTATGAAACTATAATATAGCTTTCAAAGTAAGTAGGAAAGTTCAAAACAGTATTTTCTATGAGGTGTAAGAGATTGTTTAAGATGTGTGATAACTATTTTGATCTCAATAAAAATTTCTTTCACGATGTAATATCTATCGTTAATCAATCATCTTCTTTAATGTAAGTTATGATGCTTAATATTAGCATTTTCTTTTTTGTAATCATTTCAATACCTTTATGGAATAGGTACTCAGCAATAGTACAGTACATATATTAATCAATCTCATTATATATGTAGTGTCCAACGCACGACGCAGCAACAGTCGCTGTCGCTGTCTATAGTCGTCAGTAATAATTGCTAAATCGTATTAACCGTAGGACTCTAACCTGTAAGAGATTGTAACCAATAGATTGTTGCACAATGTGTAGTGGCAGAGAATTATTAGACAATAAAAAGGATGTATTTTCTGTGTAGATTCTCTACTATTAAATTTTTTAATCCTTGTTGTTCCGATAGAAACCAAGTGAATTCTAGGCACATATCACTGTTGAGAGTATTTTTTATATACGAGTACTACAAATACGTTCTTTAAATTATAAAACAAAAAATTACTTTTCTCAATAAGTGCTTCTATGGGCTCAGAAATGTAAAGCTCTCTCTCAATCGACTCTAACGATTGCTCGTCCCACTTATATTTTTGCATGATGCAATAGTATGGACATGAACAAAAAATAACGAAGCTTAAGGTGTGTTCGAAAGAAAAGTTCTTCGTAAAATGATCCATTCCAGGTTAATCATGATAATGACATCATTTTTCAAGTTAACAACTGATGCCGAAAGATGTTGATGCGGCAATTTGAAAAAGAAGCTATAGGGAAAGACCATTTCTGCTATGGAGTGATCGAGATTAAGTGAGCATTAACCACGCTTAATGTACAAGAATGGAGAAAGCGTGTACACATTAAAAGCACTAGGAAAAATAAGTTACTAAAACCCGATAACAGATTCTATTGACTAAACAAAATGCATTAATAATGCTCCATTTTCAAGTTTTATAAATATTTTTCTATATCCAAAAAATCGCTACTGGTGCGATATTTCAAGTAATCGTCAAGTAAAAGAGCTGGTTCATTTCTACAATTATGGTACAGTATCCTTCTTCAGCAGAACAGAGTTAAGATTGCTGGTGTCCGAAGAGATAGATTGTCGACTCTGTTAAGAAGCAGACAAGACTTCCAGTCACATTCTCTATGACTGCCCAGCTTTGATCTACACCAGGGGGAGGTTACTGGGTAGAGAACTACTTTCCCCTTGTGACATTAAAAGGTCCGCAGCGGCTGATATTCTGGCTTTTATTCGGTAGACAGAATGTCTTCTGCTCGGTAAGGGTCTGTTGCAGCACAAAAGATCAACCATGGCCACAATGCTCCGCTCTGTTAAGAGCTGATACCCTGTTTATTTGTTTTTTTTTTCTTTTTCTTTTTTTTTTTAAAGTCATAATTATTTTCATATCTTAAAAATTATTTATACAAAATAATTATTTTATATGATACGCATCTATTTTGCAACCATTGAATACAAAATGAAAAAAAATTTAAAAAAAGAAAAATAGTTTACTTAAGATTCTAAACATTTTTATTTCTGGTTATTGATAAATTTTGTCATAATATTTTTGATTTATATCTGTTATGCAAAATATAAATATATATATCTGATATCCGACATCTGGTAATTGGCAAATTTATACAAAATTTTTTAATTGTATTTTTACAAAAAAAAAAAATATATATATATATAAATATATATATATATTTATGGTATTAATTATATTTTTAATAGTTACAAAATATAGATTATGTTTTTTATATTTACAAAATATAAATTATTTTTTCATAATTACAAAACATTAATTGTGTTTTTTATAATTACAAAATATAAATTATTTATAAATTTTTTATAATTATAAAATATACAATATGAGTGTTTTGTAATTATACAAATAATAATTTATTATAAATTTTATAGTACTTTTGTTTGTTTTCGTGACGTATATCATTCATTTCTACAAATATGATTCTTGCGACATTCTCCATAACGTAAAATATACTGTGGCCTTATTCTGTATCCTCCGTTCCACTTTCGGAATCAGATGTATCTTCATCATCCAAATCATACACGACCTGAAATAATGGAGTTATTAAAATAATGTTTTTATAGAAAATTCTACTAAAATCAAACAATAAAACTATAATAGTTAACTGCAATTATATATAACTGTGGTTTATGCTTTCAATTTAATTATATAGCATATAATGATATATATAATCATACTGACAAAATTAAAGTATGAAAAAATTATGACCAACGATGGAGTACTTGCAATCGAAAAATTATATAAAAAAATTTAGTTCAAACAAATATTCCCGAAAAACTACTGATGACAGATATTCGGCAATATTCAAAACAGCTGTAAAAAGGATTAAAAAGAATAACCTGTAATTTATCACTACTTCACTTTTTATAATCTTTGACTTCAAATAAATTTAATTTTAATTTTTATTATTATTGCATATAGCATTTTTTTGAAGTCTATATAATGTTTTCAGGTTATTTATATATATTAAATGTAATTTCTTACAATATCCAATGGTTCATTCAGTATCTGCTGGTTGTTTGTGCTTTTAAGAACCTTTTCCATTGTCTTTATGCCAAGTACCAGTAAATCCTGTTTTAGTAAAAACTTTAAACGGTAGTGTCTATTAACTTTAATATCCGTAAAGAATTTCTTGATGCACTCTGTTGGATTGCGATGAGACTTTTCCATATAGTGCAAAATTATTACCAAAGTTACACACTGAAACGCCGCGTCGTTTAATTTTTGGTATGTTTTCTCTACTTTAAAGCACAAAATCTGCGTAATTACGAAATCAACTATTTTCCAGTTAAGAAGCTCTGTGTGATTGAGCAAATATATCTCAGATTCTTGGAAGTTTCTAATCTTACTAAATTGCTCCAAACTATATTCTTCTTCAGATATTAGATCTTCCAAGCGCTCAGTGATTTCAGCCTCCAAACTGCCACAGTACACGTACCTACCTCTACGATTTGGAATTCGGTCTTGCTTTTTGAAAAGATGATTTGCAATCAATAAATGATAGAGTTTGCTTGCAGCGATTGAATTCTCAAACTTGGATTTAATAAATCGAATCCTTTTGCTTTGTTTGGAGATAGCTTGCGACATAACCTTAAATTAAAATATTACCATACAAATATTAATTACATATATATATATATACATATATATATATATATTTATATAAATGTGTTGTCTACTTACATTTATGGTATTAGCATTAGTCTCTAGGTTAGCGGCGAGTGCTCTTATTTTTATCAGCAGTCCAAAATAGGTTAGAGTCTTGACTTTCAGTAAACGTTCTTGGTTAACCAGATCGAAGGAAGATCTGAACTCAAGTTTTATATAATTTTTTAGTGGAGCACCAGGTTGAGGAAGCTTACAGTTTTTTTCATCGCTCACCATTTTGCCGACTATATTGGTAAATTAAAGTTTATCTAAAAAAAAAAAAAGTAATTTAAGTACAAACCATATCTATTCGATTAAATATTCAATTAAAATGCAATTCCATGAATTTTAATATTATTATTATTAAAAGAAAGGATTATGCACTGCGACCTAAAAGATCTATTGTGCCCCTTACTCGTGTAAGAGGGTTTCTCCAAGTCCAATTACTTTAATGAAAGACAGTATAGAGCCTACCTTTCTTAGTCTTGAATCTTTATGACACATGAAATACTCTCCTAGGTGTTTCTTCTGCTTGTGCATCAGAGTCGGTCACTCCCCAAGAGCACATGGTACGCAGTTTCTCTCTCTCCTCTACAGTATCTGCAGTCTGAGTTGGTTGGATTTTTAAAATTATTTGTGTTAAATTTTTTTCACGAATAAAATTTTCCTTTTCCACCATGTCAGAAGAGGACGGTAATAAATTATAAGTAAAATATTTACTAAAATAATTCTTTAATTCAATATACATATATATATATGTGATTAAAAATTTCTTATATAAATCGTTAACAAAGAAACTGCTAGGTACTAATAATAATTAATTTTTTAATTTTCTGTATTTCAAATAATGCAATAGTAATCGATGGAATGCAAATTAACACTGTTAGTGTCATTGCAACGTAAGTCAGTATCATCCAATTATATATCTCAAGAAGAGTAGTTGTAATGTTGCGTTCAGAGACGCACCTAACATACAAAAATTTCTTCTGAATTTTTCATTATACGTTCTCCCGATGATATAGCAGATGATGGGCGATGCTGTTGGTATAGTGTGGTTCCGGGATATCATGCTTTTAAATTGTAAACTTTTTAGATTGCTTACTTTTCTATCGTTTATAGTTGTTGCTAAATCAATAAAAAGTTCTATATATTTGCATTAGTTGACGATATATGTTAGGACTAACTTGTGTTTTTGTAAAGAATTTTCAACTTTATGACTTGATATCTGAGCAAAGAAGTTATATTGACATAAATCATAGTTAAGAAAATTCTTGAGAATATTGAAATCCATTAAAGTTAATTTTCCTGTTTAACTACAATCCACTTTAATTTGCTTTAGTGACAAAAAGGTGAAACTGATGAAACTCATTTATGGAGAAGAATTTGTTTAGGAGATATGCCCTTGCATCCCTACACTATATTCCACTGTAGTACAATAAGTAGGAACAGCTACTTTCTAATTGATATTAAAGATGATTGTAGAATATAAAGAAAACAAATGTTGTTCACCTCTGCCTATTGTCAATAGCTCTCCAAAACTTCTTGACGTCTATTTAACTGCATAAAACAATTTATAAATTATTTCTTGACACAAACTGCAGAAGTTTTTCTTACTGCAAACTTTCACAATAAATTTGATGATCTTTTATAATTTTTTCGACACACCCTCTTCGCACCCGAGCCCAAATACTCTGCGTGTAAAAAAACTAGATAAGCAGATGTTTAAACAATCGAAAATGAGTTTCCTTCTTTGTTGAAATTTATAATTGGCAAAAATTTATGTAGAAGTCAGCGTACGACCGAGTATTGAACGAAATGCCAAATTCAATTAAAAGTTTTGTAATAATTAAAGCCGCCCCGCGTTCACGCAATTCCCCAAATCAACAAATTCGTTGCCGTTTTGCAGTAAAAAAATGTAATTTCCAAAATTTTTGCTATTACGTTTTGAAATCATTTCACTTTGGCCCCATAACACATTTTCGGTAATTTGAAAATGTTCTTAATTTAGAACTTACTTGTACTTTATCCAAAATTTGATTCAAAATATTCTTTACACCGTTTTTATTTTTTTTCTTCTGCAATTCATTAAGTAGTTGACCCAGTCCTGTAAACTTTCGTTTAATATTAAACAACAAAAATATTTTATTTGAAATTAAAATATTTATAAAATAAAAGTATAATAAACGCGACCGGTCCGTTCCTTTCAGCGTTTAAAAAAAATTGTCAAAGAAAAAATATTACTTTCGATAAAGTCAAACTGTTTCTTTTCAGGGTTTCAGTAAAATTATTTTTATATCTCCTACTTTTATACTCCCTTTACTCTACATATATGGGGTATGTGTATTGGGTTTACATTACGAACTCCGCTGGTGGAAGTCGACTTTGAGCTTAAAACCAGTGACCAAAGCCAACTTTTTCATATAAAAACAGTCACAATAAAGTTCGAACTTTCACTGAAAGTTAATTTTATTTAAGCTAACTTAAATAAAGTAAGCCGAAACTTAAAATAATTGAACTGAAAGTGATTCGTGGTTTACATTACGAACTTAAGTCAACGAACTTTGTTAAAGTTGATTTAGCGTTCACATCACATCTGTTCCACAAGCTACTCGTAGTAAAACTCTAGTAAAACACAAGTAAAGTACAAACTGAGAGCGTAACACAAATAATGTGCCGAATTACGTTTTTTACACAGATTTTCATGGATCAGTTTTGTGTAAAATCTGGTGAGAACACCAGTGCCGCGCAAATAAACAATACAACAATTTAAATTCAAACCAAAACAGCTGATTCAGAAATTACACAAATTTTAAAATAAAATAAAATGTACGAGTAAAGTCTGTGCAAATGCGTATATTCTTAAATCATGTTCCTTAAAACTTTTGCGATTGTCATCATTAATATCGATTCCTTATTCGAGACTAACTCTTCGTTATCATTGGAAGGTGTTTTCATATGGGCCAAGTCCGACGCATAACTTCATATATTTATGAGGAGAATTTCGCTGTACACAGTAGTTCACTACGCACGGAACTAGCTATCCAGAGAGGGCCACGTGGGGATTGTGTGTCAACTTGGGAGAACAGTGCAAAGCATCGAGCTGACATTTACCAAGTTAAATGCAATCAGACACTTTACCTTGTATGTTCACTCCCTCCTCCTCCCCATATTATAGCAATAATGCTAATAATATTAAAAATATAATTTAAATACAACAAAATATTATTAAAATAAAAATAAAAGATGTAAAATAAAAACTGGCACTTATTATCAGTGGTGCCGCGTTTTTATCCGGGCCACTCTAACATGTTATAAAGCTGTTCCATTGCGAATGGCCTACTATACGTATAACTAGTGTTCTTTCAGCCTGTGGGTGAAGTTAGGCTCCGCTTAAGTAAAGTTATTGTAAATACATAGTATTATTTTGATAAAAATAGTATATATTACGTCGGAAATAATTACAAAGCGGTGGACTAAAGATAGAGTTCGGGCTCCATGTGGAATATATGTAAATACAACATAAAATGAAATTAGTGAAAAATATCGTTGGCAGTTTGATATGATACAGTGTAAACAGGTTAGAACATAAGGAACAAGTGACAGTATGATATTATAAAGTAAAAGGTAGAAGATAATATAATATTCATCCAAACTGCTAATAAATCCAGTGTGCTAAGTCTAAACTGGTTACTAATGTGAATTCAAGTTGTATCAAATTTAAAGTGCAATAAATACTATTTTTGATTAGTTCAATTTGAAACTCTTATTTTGCTCAACAATCATTGTGTTTTGCTACCAGCTTGATAGAAAACTCTTGCTCGCGCCATCTTCTGGCAATATGATAGTCCACTTTGGAATATTTTTGATTTTACTTTTCGTAAATTAAAATAGTGAATAGTGATATGAATTCAACCAGCAATCAGCTGATTCATTCTGCTAAATATAACTGAGCAACAGACTTTTGACCAACGTGACGAGGGTAAAATCTCGTCAGCGTGACCAAATTTAAACCAAATTTTTTCTCTTTCTCTCATTTTTAAATTTTTAATTTATGTGTATAATAATTTCAATAATTCGAACCTTTCTTCTTATTTATACTTTAGCACGCATAATCAAGCGGATTTTCACTCTTCTGGTAAAACGGATCAGCTGGCGGCTTATTGCACAATTGTTTTCGCCTTTCTAGGCTTCGCGCCGATCTGTATTCCTTTTTACTCTCTACCATATATCTGCTAGTAATCACCTTTCTTGTGCTTCTCGGTTTTATACTTGATTCACAAGAACGTTTTGTTTGTAATTTTAGCTGTCAATTGGTATTGCTTTCAATGCAAAATGAGATTTTTGAAAGCTAAAATTACAAACAAAATTCTCGTGTGAATCTAGTATTAGTAAAAGAAAATAAATAAAAATAAATTCATTTTTAAAATAGTAATCAAAACATAGTTTTATATAAAAACTTATAAAGATTTTAGTAAAAATTTCGTAGATACTGCATAATGTTAGTTTTTAAATACTGTCAACTTTGCATGATGGTGTATGAGTACTGCTAACATTTGCCTTTTTAAAACTTTGACAGCCAACAGCGTCAAGCTTTGGAGAAATACGGGCATCTGCAACTCATACATTTTTCTTCTGCATTTTAATACAACTGCAATACAATAACTCTCGTTTAATACAATGGAACATATAGAATTAAAGTCCGACGAAATAATGGAAGGGTTCGATGATAGCATTGCGTACGACAGAGCACTAAAAAAGTTTAAGTTTACGCTACCTGATACGCCGTCAGAGACAAGTAGTGCATATTTTAATAAAAATACATTCCATAATTATTTTACCGAAAAACTAAAATATTTTATAGCTTCCAGAAAGCGGAAATTATCTGGTGGGGATACACAATCACCGAGGGATAGTTCCAATAATGCCATAAAATCTTTTATTTCGTCAGCAGGCACACCCCCAAATCCTTGGGAAACTAGATGCCTTAAAGCAGATCTTATAGAATCGAGGGCCAGAGTAATACAAAATATATAGAATAATAATATGTAGAATAAATAATAATATTATTTAGGTGTCACATTTAAAAGAATTCATTGATGAACAACACAAAGCTCGCGCACAACTCGAAGAAATACATCGAATAGAGGTTAAAGATTTGCAAAGGCAACTAGCTTCTTCCACAAAGAAGATAGAGGATGCAGAAACACAACTAGAGGTGATATGCAAACAGGAACGAGCGGCTAAAGAAGAATTGTTGAGAATGCAACGTGAGTTTAATTGTAAAAAACACGATTTGGAAGAAACTATACTTAAGCTCCAGAAATCAAAATATGAAATAGAAACAGAAGCACGGCAAGCGCAAAATCGCATGACCAGCGAACTGGAAGAATATAGACTTCAGGCAGACAACTTGACTATGGTAATAGTAAAAGAATATGGTATGGTGAACATCATTTAATGTTGCGTTTTGTTTTTAAAGGAATTGCGATTACTCACTGGTGAGCTGGGTGTTGTGGCTGAACAGAGCGAAAGTTATCAAGAGAAATCAAGCCTTTATGACAATTTAAAACTGCGACATGATAAAGTTTTATATGTACTTGATTTTGCTAATTCAAAAATAAAAGATTTGGAAAGTAAAATCGCCTCTTATGGAGATTGGAAAGAAATAACAAAGGTTTGTATCATACATTTGCACACAATCAATTTATATAATTGTTAGTAAAGATTATATTACATTGAAATAAATATGCACACCAAATATATACTCGTATATTTAATCAAATTATATCATATTATAGAATAACTATGCGCGTCTTCTAAAGTTTTCTGAGATGGAAAAAGAGGTCGAGTTCTTACGTATCAAAAATAAACGTTTGCATGAGCTGATAGGTAATAAACTATTGCTGGAAGAACAAGTATATGATTTAAAAACGCGCCTTGAAAAGGAGGAAAGAGGCAAAGTAGAGGCTGCTGCATTACAAGTACGTTTAGTCTGTCCTATGCATTATTTAATAAAATATGAAAATATGAAACTGTTTGTTTTTAAATTCTAAGGTTCAATTAAAACACACAAAAGATGAACTAGTGGCATGGAAAAAAATAGCCCAAGATCACTGTCCCACTAATGTCAAAGCTAATCCTTTGGCATTACGTGCCAGAATTGAGGAACTGTTGCAAAAAGATATAGTAATGGTGTCAGAAAAAAATGCAAAAGTATCGGAAACTAAATGCATAGAATCCGATTTGTTTGAATATAAAGAGGTATGTATTGACTGATATATATGTTCATGTGTACAAATTTTATTTTAGAAATGCGGTATATATGCTAAGAATATTGAAACTCTATATGAAGCTCTAAAGAGACATGAAAATAACGAAGAACGTATACAAAGGAAATTACATTTGGTTTCCAAGGAGCGTGACTATTCTAAACAATTATTGGAAAATTTCGATAAACATTTAACAAGTAAGTGTTATTTAATATGTGTATGTTTCCGAGCAAAATTCTAAGCTACAATTTCTTTTATTTTATATCAAGTGTCCAATACTTGCGTTAAAACAAATCTGGAAACTCAACTACGCAAACGTGTTGAAACGCTAGAAAAAAGTCTAGCGGGGTACAAGGAGGAACTTTCCAAATTGGAAACTGAATTGTCAAATACTAAAAAGTTACCGCAATCAGAACAGCAGCTGGAAAGTGTTGATGGGGGCTATGAATATATGAAAAAAGAACTTGACTTACGCCTAGATAATGCAAAGATTCGTAGACGGAACGAAGAATTGGAACTAGAATTAGAGATTCGCTGTTCGAAGAGTCACTTCAACGTTGATAGTTACAAAGCCTTGCACTTGGGGAACAATACTACTTCAAACGAATGTAGATCATTATTTGAGGAACTACAAGCAGAGGTAATTAAAAACAAAAATAAATAAATTTCAAACGTTAAACGAAAGCCAATGAGGAGTGAAGTTAATATGATTTGTTGTTACAAAATATGATCACTAATTTATATTAATTTGATTCATTGGAATAATATTTAAAAAAAAATTAATTAATTATTTAATTAATTAATTAATAATTAATTGATTGGATTATTTCTTGCGTCTTAATGTGAGAAAATAGTCGTTTTAGATTCGCTGACGTCGGTCTTCATGTTTAAGATATAACATAATATCCGTCCAATATTATAAAATGAATTTTTGCGATAACAAATTTTCTTACATTGGTAACACTGTAACGATAGCCGACTTATTGGCGTGTACTAAAAAATTAGAAAGACCCTTCACCATCTGTGGTGAGCTTATGAAGCAAATTATTCACAATTTTTATTTTTTATAGATTGAAAGCCTTAAACGTGCACAATCCCTTCTGAATGAAACAAATTAAATGACTATGAATATATGAAGGAATCGAATTAATTAGGAGCAGAGCTAGAATCTAACAATCATAAAATAAAATAAATTAAAAGGAGAATATAAAGATGTAAATTCAGAAATTCGTAAAGTTGTTTATATGATGTTCGGCTATAGAGTGGATCATATTGGAAATAATGGATATTGTAGGTTACTACATTTTTTACTAATTTTTTCATTTTTAATACAATAAAAATTTAATATATTTTCTTTAGAGTTTCCAGCATGTATGCGGAGAGTCCAAATGACTATATAAATGATTACATCTATTTGATGATAAAAGTAATTTAAAATAATTAGAGACTCCTTTAAACTAACTTTAAAAGATTTTATTGATACACTTTAAATTGACAAAAAATCCAATTAATTCTTTTCCAATTTCTTTTTTTAGTTCTTTAATATTAGAGTCATATGACCGAACAACAGTAAATATTAAATAAATTTATAATAATTTACATAGAATACTTAATAAATAAATATTTTTATATGTAGATTATTGGAATAAAATCTATAATATATCAATATAGGTTAATGATAATAAAATTATATTTAATAACAATTAAAAAATATCTATCAATTGATTTCTATCGAACATAAGATTATTACCTGAATATAAATAATAATTACCTGACTTCACAACAGGGGGCAACGCCACAATGAAATCAGTTATATTTCGTATATCTGGCAAGTTTAAACCCACAGCTTTATAAGTTTTGACTTCATCAGATTTTTGGTTAGCTTTAGATTTTGACAAATATTTGAAATATCGTGCGTATATATAAATATTAAGTGAAAATATTATTTAACAATAACAATTTCAGTTTACTTGACCATGGCTGTGTGCATAACATGCTCCTAATATGGTCTTCTCGGGAATGTCTTTGGATTTTTTTCCTTTTTAACTGTTCCAATTATATTAGAACCTTTTCAAAATAAATTCCAATAAGAATTAGTGATTAGTGAAATGTAAATATAAAGTTAATAGTACATACAGTGCAGTTTTTTTTTTAATTGCATTGAGTCAAGGTCCCCGGGGCATTTGTATATGACGTATTCAGTAGACTCTATTGTTTCTTTCTTCTTTCCTAGAGTTGTTTTTGTCTTTCAACTCTTTTCATATTTTTTTGGCACACAAAATATTAAATATTGATCTCCAGCGTTGCTCTATATATTGATTACTAGATTAGATATACAAGTCCTAATCTTGCCAGACCGTGGTATTTCTATATAAGATATTCAGTAGTCTCTCTTCTTTGTTTTTCCATGATTTCAAGTGATTTCAAGCCAAGTAACTTACATCTGAATTGGAATGTAAAACCAAGCATTTAAAGCTCTTTACCACTATAATAGCTTTATTTTTTAAACCCTGTCGTACGAGGATTGCGTCAATCCTCATACGATTGACTTGTAGTTCATTACATTTGAGAACGTTGATTGATTGATAGAAGTATTCTTCAGGAATGAACTTATCATGGCTAAGAAGAGTAATGTTATAATACTATAATGTTTAGGAAAAACAGTTCAGAACTCCTCGATAAAAATTTGTATTATCTAACATGCTAAATAGCTGCGGCCATAAACCGGGTTCCTGATACTTTCTCACATTTTTTTTAATTGTTTTTTTTTTTTTTGAATTCTCTCGCAAAATTAATTAATTTGCATGATATCTTGATTTTATTTAGTGTCGTGGGCTTTCTTAATAAAAGTTTTCGTTATAAATTTCTATGTTTTATTATCTGCCATATGGGAGAGAGGGTGCTTACCATACTCAATTAAATGTTTTTTAAACCTTGCCTTCGTCGTAAGCGCTTGATATAATGTATTTCTTTATATGGACATAAAATGGTCGTCCTATAAGTGTTATTAATATAACCACAAAATTGAAATCTTTAATTTAATTCTATATTTAAGTAAATTGCTTGAAGCAGGAAGTAGTCTGTAAATACAGTTTTCAAATCATTTCGACACATAAAAGAACCATTGACTGAATTCATCAAATAAATGTGAACAATTATGTGACAATTATCCTTGGAAAAGATATTTTATTACGAAATATAAACAGAAGTACCAAATACTTTATTTTTTATGAATCGCTCCAAAACGTTAATATAGGGTCGTACATAAATGCAGTAAGGGAATTTATATGATATCCTTAGCTCTGTGCTATTTTATCCTTTCAACAGTGCTCTCGGTAGATGTGCACCATTATTTGGGTTTTAATAGTCACAAAACGACACTTGGCGCTCAGGTTTCTTTGGCAACAATTAAATAAATCTCCCCATAATCGGAATCAGGATAACAATTTATTTATTGACTTGTTTTATTTCATGCGCCAGGAAAGGTTCAACATATTTCCCACTTGGCGCTCAACGTTAACGAATTTATTGAGATCTCATGGAGTCAAGTGAATTTATGACTTAATTTTTTATCCGGATTTAAGATGCCATTACCCGAGCTTAAAATTTAATAAAAATAATTTAATTTTTCAATTGTTAAAGTTTCTCTCTTTTTAGAAATAATTTTTCTAGCGTTACTGGTATTTAAAGTATTTTAATTAAAAGTATAATTCTCTAAAAGACAATACAATTAATCGTCAATGTTGGATTTCAATGCCAATAATCACTTCAATTGACTTGAGGACTCAATGGCATATGGTTGTAGCCATGAGGAGAGTGAAGATTGTTGAGTGTGAAGTCACAGAGATATATATCATTAAATAAAATATTTAAATTCAATGCTACAAGAGATTCAACGGCTGCACTTGGATTGAATTTGTGAAACGGTACAATTGTGCACTCTGGGCTGTGATGTTAAACAAAAATCCATTTAAACTAAATTAAAAGTATCAACTGCTCACTGAATATATAAAAAATTTCCATGTGAAGTTGCTTATTGCTTGACGCAATGAACATTATCTTCAAATTATTTGAATAACCCAGTTTTAATCTGTCTATTGAAAATAATTATTTAGTGACAGCAGAGAGCTTAGTAAGAGTTATACTTGTATCCTTGCAGTGCTAAATGGTCTTTAACAGTTAATCAGATTGTGTCGAACTATTGCAGAATACCCAGGTCCTACAATAAAGAGTTGAACAAGTTTGCATCTATTGACCGTAAGGGTCACATTGCTAACGAATAAATAGTGAAATAGTAAATGGTGGAATAGTGTCTCTTAAATATTGTTGGTCGACCATGAAAGTCTATTAACCGAAAAGAGCTATTTAGTTCACAATAAACAATTAAAGGTATAATGTATTTAATATATTAAAAATATATTAAGACAGGGTAGATATATAAATATAAATGTATATACCGTATGTATGTATACGCAACTTAAATTTGAAAATGAGGTTTTAATATATTGCCTTTAGAAAGTAGATGTGTTTGCTTTTACAGATATAAAATTTTTCCAAGACTTCGAATGAAATTACTGAAAAGGAATTGTTAAAAATTTTTTGGCATGAATTTGAGGAATGTGATAAACCAAGCACCACACCCACCTGTCAAGAATTCGTAAAGTTGTTTTCGGTTTCCGAAGATAAAATAACGATACTAAAAAAGATGTATCGATCCATTTACAGTCAAAAAAAAAAAAAATTGGTATATGCAGTTGATGGTTATAACTAAATCGGCTTAGAAAAAATATAGGATCAGGTCGAGTACTAATATTGTCATATACTATAATATACATATACAATAACATACCTATGTCGTAATATGACCACCGTCACTCTATATAGGAGTAGTTGTGTTGCATTTAACAGGTCCTACATTAACGGTTGATTTTGCATTTGTAACTTAAGTCTCAAAACTAACTAAGTAGAGGGCTTAAGCATCATTTAAATCAGTATTGTTATTTAAGTTGGAATATAAAATCGGCCACAAAGGTGTGAAAATGAATTAATGTTTTATATGATAATGCTGACAGTTCATGAGCTCAAAGTATGTTCGATATATAGCGATGGATTGGTTGTTTGGTCGCAGTTCCAAGCCAGCAGACAACCTTTCATTGGCCTAAGTATGCGATTTTTACCGTTTTGCTACTATATTCCACGCAAAAAATCCTAAGATAGAAAGATGCAAACTAAATTCAACCCATCGAATTTAGATCTTTTAATCGGTTTTTCGTTTTTACCGGTTAACAGTCTGATAAGTTGTCAGCATACAAAAACTATATCCCTAAGAACGTATTTCTTTTGGATAGTGATGGGTGTTGAAAATTATTTTTTATGATTGATTTAATAGATTTATGCTAAAAAGAAAGTGAAGTTAAAATAACTATGGTTTAAATAATTGATTTTTCACTATTGTTTTTAAAATATAAAACCAATAAAAAATGAATGTCTCTTTTATTTTGTTATTGGCCAAAATTCCTTCTGTGGTTTCATCTTAAGCCAAATTTGTGTACACATCATTCCGAAATAATCATTGACGAAACCTTTTCAATTATTGCAAACTATTTTTTAGACTCTGCAAATTGCTTACTCTTACAAACTTCTTCTGCATACTTGCGGCTAAAGTAATTAAAGTTAAATTTATTAATTTAGAACGAAATGGAAAATTTTCGTCAAACAGGAGCTTAACATTCTAAGTATATTAAGTTGTAGAGGAAGAGTTGCAAGTGAAATCGATGTCTATGTGAGAACAGACAAAATGTTCGTAGGAAACCACTAATTGAGTGTTGCCAACACGTTCTAAACAAAATCCTTAATTAAAATCCACAAAACAACGGCGGATAAAGTAGTTTCGCAACACTGAATATCCTTGTTAGGGAAAATAAGTTATAAGTAGTGTAACATTTTAACAAAAACTTGTTATAATAATGCCGAGAATGGGCGGTTGGGGGTTAGTGTGCGGCTTTTATTAAAACACAAAAAACTTAGTAGTTAATTGAAAATTACACACTTGCACGCATTTCCAGAAAGGATTAAAACAAAGTATTTCACTTTCTAATCTTACGAAACGTATGCATGAAGAGCAATCTCCTGCCTTGTCTCGGTTCACCATTCACCACTTTTGCAAAGTATTTGTACTGTTGTCATAACTACACTTTTCCGATGAGTATTCCTATTTAAGCACCCATAAATTGTCTGAATAAGTATTTGCATATTTAATTTGAGGTTTGTAAGGACCCTCATATGGTACTTAAAACATCTGTTTGCATGTGCGTGCATTTGATAAGGCGAGAATATGTTTTTCATCAAAACTGTTTAGAATCAGACAAAGATTACAGGATAAATAAAAGTTTGCATATCCATTAGACCAAATTTGACCTAGAAGCTAACATACTGCATGAAGTTTGTATTAATTATTTAATGAAATCCTTTTCGAGTAAATAGACGAGGTCAAGCTGAATTCCAAAATGTGTATATATAAAATAATGCTAGTGTTTTACTAAATATTCCACATTTTTAATAATA